CTGCTTTTGGCACATATGTCCCTTCAGAAAGGCAGAAACTTTCGTCCCTGAAAGCTGGGGAGCAAAGTTCCTCCGTTGACTGCATCTCATTGTGGCGGCCCCGAATCGAGCGACTCGAGCTCAATTAGGCTTAACGAGGATGGTACACCTATAGTACGGGGCAAGCGGAGCAGCAAATAAAAGCTTAACACGAGCTTTACGCGAATTGTATTTAGTTCCCAAGTCGGATTCCCCACGCAGGTAAAGAAACTTCCGTTTCGAAAGCAGTCAGTCAGTCTTCTCATCGTCACCACTGCGATCTTAAACGGAAACCACCGGTATTCAGTTACTTCACGCACTTCGCATCTTACCTTTGCTATTCCTCTTGCCACAATTCCTTCGTCAACTGCAGATCACGGATGTGGTAAGCCATTCGCGAAACGGAAATCCGCTCACAAAAAGAGCAAATTAGAAGCAGTCTTCTTGGCTGTAACCACAAATCGCGAAGCTAGAGTCCCTAAATAAAGCTACGCTTTCAGAGTACCGAAACTCCCAAACTACGCGTCTGAAGCGCGTCAGGCGCCGCCATCTTGGGTCCACGCGCAGATGGAGGAGCGCCTGTAGCTGAACCAAGCCGAGCTGTAGCCGTCGCCTGCGCCAGCTGCCGTAGCCGCAGCTGTGGCTGCGGCAGCGAATCAAAAGTCAAATTTGGGGGTTTTACGTGCCAAACCAACGACGGGCATCTGGCACGCCCCAGCGGAGACTGAGGATTAATTTGGACCACCTGGGGATCTTTTGACGTGCAACCGAAAGCTCGGTTACGCGGCGCCTCCTCCGCAATAAGCCTCCGTCAGATTGCGGGCACCTCGGCCGGGATTCGAACCCGCCACATGGGGATCCGTAGGCCAGCGCTCTCGCCTCGGAGCCATCGAGGTGGCAGCTGTGGCATCGAATCAAGGTCGTGTTGTTCGTATCTCGACATAAGAAGGAAAAAGTGCGTGCTGAGCGACGGACTTCAGGGTGCGCGAGCAGTAAACAGTAAAACAGCAGCAGGCAACGGATCGCTGGATCCAAGATGGTGGCGTTGAAAAAACGCGATGATGATGATAGCGACTCACGTGACTGCCGTTGTCCAATGATGCTGCAGCGAACCAGCATATTGTTGAATGAGCGACTGCGTTGTCGGCGAAGTGCCAAAGAAAAGGAATGCGGTACTCTGAAAGCGTAGCTTATTTAGTGACTCTACTCGAAGCGTGAAAGAAGGTTAGATCGCTTGCCACCTGATGGCAGGGCCAGGCAGAGTAATTGCAAGTAGCTAGGCTAGGTGGCGTTATGTACCGCCCAATTCGTGTGCTGCAAAATTCATGCGGGCACCTTTATTATACACACATGTAGACACATTACGTATACCACTAGCACCAGCTGAATATATACATAGAGCGCACACACATACACGGCACATGCAAACATTAATACAACAGCACAGGAACCCGATCACTAGATCTGTGCTGTGCGTTTCCACCTTTTATACTGGTCGTTTTGAAGGTACGAATTTTCTCGGTGACCACCTAAGCAATAAAAAATATTCCCAGCATGTTAATGATAATTTTTTTAGCAATGTCATACCTCTGAGAGTACTTCGAATGGCTCAGGCGATGAATCTCTTAGTAAAAAGTAAACGATGATGCCGTAATTATATGATAGCCAATAAATCAAGCCGGTCCACTGCCATATGTTTGTTTCCCGGCACGGCACGTCGTAGCCAGTATTTCTATTGGAGGATTTGTTTTTCTAATTGTGGTTTTCGCGTGTGGCTGGAATTGTCGTTTTGAATTGATCTCCGTAGAGATCAATTCGCTTTCACTCAGGTGAAAGCGAAGCTTCGCGGTCAGAAAACTCGCTTTTCGATCAACTTGACTGCAGTCGAAGTCGCGGCTTGCGGCACGTGTTAAGTGTACGGAGCTACGCCGTGGTGAACTCGAAAACACCTAGCGCTCATCTCAGCGCACCACTTGGAGGGCACTTTCTCCAGGAATTGTAGTATATTTAAACAGCAAAATGAAGGATAGCTTTCTGTTGATTTTACCTACCATGCTCCCTTAATGTTCAAATTCCAGACTGCCAATATACGTACTTTCTGTCATATTTCCATACTCTTCAGCAGCGGCGTAGACTTTCCTTCCCGAAAAGATTCCGAGTCAAGAGGTCCAACGCGTCATGAGGTCCAACGAGTCAAGAGGTCCAATATTGGGCCTCTTGACGCGTTGGACCTCCTGACGCGTTGGACCTCTTGACTCGCCGTGGATCTCTAAACCCGTTGGACCTCTTGACGCGTTGGACCTCTTGACCCATATTGGATCTCTTGACTCGTGCCTGGATGTGTTAAGAGGTCCAACGCGTCAAGAGGTCCAATATTGGATAGCTTGACTCGTTGCATCTCTTAATGTGAAATATCTACAGGCAAGGGGTGTGAAATAAGTACAGGCAAAAAAGTGAGAAAAAAAAAAAACAACAACTATGAGGGCACCTAAGCTTTCTCTTACGATGTGAGAATGGGCGAGCACTACATTTTTCCGAGTTTTTTTTTCCGCAACGGATAGCGCGCTAGTTGCTCGATCAAGAGGGGCTGGGTTCGAAACCAGGCAGGGGATGGTTTCGTGCTCACGTAACCAGGGAGGTCACGTGACCAGAAGTTTTTGTTAGTTTGGTCACGTGACCAGAGAGTTATTTTTTTTTCATTATTATGTTGGATTGCGTTGGACAAGTCACGTATTTTGACGACGGATTTTGCCGACGGCTTTTTCGCTGCCTGAACCAGGTAATGCTCGCGCATTAAAAAAGCAGACAACAGAGATGCTAACAATAAAGGTGGAGAAGAAAAATGTCGGAAAAAGAGCGAAAAGTTCAGCTGTGAAGACTTCCACACGGCAGGGGGGATCTCACGAACACTTCTTTGATACATCGTTTCTGGCCGGTGATGAAATCAGTGTTCGTGCGTATGACCCGTGGTTTGCTTGGTTTCTGAAGCGACAGATACGCGCGCGCTGGGCTGTGGGGATCGCATGCTGGGCACTGGATTTGTAAACACCGGAAATCATTGTAGTTATAAACTGTCAAGCTTGTAGCAACATTCGTTCTTTGGGAACCTGTGTGCCTTCTCTCTTCTACCCCTGACCACAAAGACGTAAATCTGCACCTCCCTTGTTGCTCTCCCTCGCGAATATCGAACACGTAACCAGAAAGGTCGTAACATTTCACGATTTGAGATGCCTTTTTTTTTTTTTTTTTTTTTTTTTGGGGGGGGGGGGGGGGGGAAGTGACTACTTCGACATTCGGGTTCGAAATAATTGTAGAACTATTTTGAACACATCTTTTTCCACATACGAAAGATATGCCCATAGTTATTTGCTATTTCGACGTCTACCATCACACTAAAGCACTATTATGGCGTTTGACGTCAGGACAACTGAACATAGTTATTTATTTTTTTAATTTCTGTGACATCATTTTCAAAAGTTGTAATAATTGTTTTAATTTATTCTCGTCTCGTCAAAATAGCTTCCTTGATATTTTGAAGTGCTTGGTCTTCGAAGAACTTGAAGAGACAGTTTGCCCTGGCGAAGCATGGCATGTAAAGTTAGTCATTTTTCCATTCGCCATGGCCTAGCACTAGACACACTAGAGATCTATCGGCTTCAGAGATCGACCTGCTTTCCGACACGAACAGTTCTTCAATAAACTTCAATCTCTATGACCCAATTTTCTAAAAATGATTGAGCAAGTAACCCGCCATCTTACAATTCCAACCGACTAACACATCGCGTAATTTCAACTAAATATAAATGATATCGACAGACAAGTGTTAGGTAATTCGTGTCAAAAATGCTTAATCATGAAACGTTCAGTTTCATGGTTTATTTCACATCATTTTCAAAATTAAAGAGCAGTAAAGGGGTTACATATTGCTAGCATAAGTATTTGTGGCTGCTCTCTGCTTTTAAGTAACCCAACGGCCCAAATTAACTCGCTATAGCTTGCACCGGTCATAACGTTTCAAGAAGACAGTGCTCGCATTCATTTTCACACTCTATTGGACGCCAAGTGGCATAATCTGGGCTCGTTTAAAGACGACCTCTAATGATATTTGAGCTTCTTCCCATGTTGGGTTATTTACCTCTTCAGTGATTCGGTGAACTTAGTGAATAAAAACTAAAGCATAAAATTGTAGGGCTTCATATTTGTTAATAGAACATACGAGAACCTGGGCCTGGACAAAGTTACCCAAGGAAGTATTTGCAATTACAAATACTGAGATACATGAAAGGGAAGGATAAACGCGAGATGGGGGGGGGGGGGGGGGGGGGGGCTGAGGTACATTTGTATTTTATATCTCGGAAATTTGAGAGACAATTCCGTAGAAATGGCCTAAATGAGTCCTAAAACAGAGAGACTGGAACACAGACATTATGTTCTACAAGTCCAAAATATGTCGCCAGGCACTATCGATTATTTAACACTCAAATACATATACATTGTGGTAAATAGTATCTGTCTAGTCTCCCAATTCTCCAATATAATTAAAATAGGTCTAACAGTCAGTAACCGTCATAAGCAGACATTAACGGCAATATTATTATAAACAAAGAAGATAAAAATAAGGCTCGATGGACCTCTTGACGCGTTGGACCTCTTGACGCGTTCTACCTCTTGACGCGTTCTACCTCTTGACGCGTTGGACCTCTTGACGCGTTGGACCTCTTGACTCGATGGACCTCTTGACGCGTTGGACCTCTTGACACAAATTGGACCTTTTGACTCGTTGGACCTCTTGACGCGTTGGACCTTTTGACTCGAATTGGACCTTTTGACTCGTTGGACCTCTTGACTGGGCTGTCACGTGGCTATTGGACCTCTTGACTCGTTGGACCTTTTGACACGTTGGACCTCTTGACCATAAGCGTCGCGGAGACTGGATCGAGCGTACTGTGTAAAAGATGGCATGCTTTGCCATAGTAACTCACATCATCGACGGTGGCTACCGATGATTCCAGCTTCCCTGAGGACTGGCGTTCTGCAACTCTGCCACGATGATCACACAGCAAGTCACCTGGGCAGACACAAGATAGCCAAACTCAACGAAAGCTATTGGTGGCGGGGATTCCGGCAAGACGTTGTCCGTTACGTCGCTTGTCACATTTACGCAAACATAAAACAGCAACAACAAATATTTCCCCCTTTAACAAACTCCATCCAACCCAACCCCCGCAAGCGTTCAAGCTTATTGAACTTGATCATTTGGGACCATGTCCGACTTCACAACGAGGCAACCGTTATATTATCGTCGATGTAGACCATCTCAACAAAATAATCGAGCTGCGTGCGTGCCTACAGCCTCAGCGGATCACGTGATGAGGTTTGTTTTTGTGAGCGAATTGTAGTCCGCCACAGTGTACCCCTTTCTTTTCTCACCGATCGGAAGACACCATTTAGCTTGTATCTTTTCAAGCATGATATGATATCCTTCGGAATACATCCCGCCCAGGCAGCCCCCTGCCGTCTCGAAACCAACGAACTCGCTGAGCGTGCCAATCGCACTATAGCGGACATCTTGCACACATACGCGTACTACACAACACACGCCAATCGGGATGTGTACGTAACCTACACAGCATTCGCTTTGAACAGATCCCAACAAGGAAGTACCATGACTAGTCCATTCAAGCTGGTGTATGGAAAAACTGCGGTTCTTCCATATGAGCCAACGCTACCAACCATGTGGGACCATAGACGACGAGAGGATGACTAGTCGTTTCGAGGACTGACTCAATGAAGCGCGAAGCCGTGCTCACATTGCCATAATTAAAGCCCAACAACAAATTCTGACCAGTCATCAACAGGACAGTCAAATTCCTCTCATAGTGCCAGGATACGTTGTTATTGTGCGTCGCCATCTTAAAGGGACACCGCAATGGAAAAAAAAAATTAAAGCTTTTCTTAAACACGTTATGTTTACGTTTTTTTTTTTTTTTAACTTCGCAACGAAAAAACAAAGTTCGCGCACTATTTACGCCATTAGGCACAATTTAGGTGGAGGTCATGGCCCGCTGTAAGCCCCGCCCACAAAAGACCGAAAAAACTAAAAGAAATCAACAAAATAAATATTTAGTTCTAGGTTTACTGTTCACAATATTTTTCTTTCACATGGTATCCGCGAGCAAGGTGAATGAGCATCATGACGCAGAATTAATACCCCTGTAAGGCGGGCACGTTAAATGCCATTTAAGCAAAATGAGATTACAGCTCGGCCAATCCGCGTGTTTAATACGCCACGATGCGCGTGCACGCGCCACGTGCAGAACCAGGCTCACGAGCTGATTCGCCGAGCGGTGAAAGACATTCGATCAAAATGACATTTACTTTCCCCTCTGACAGGGGTATCATCGAGACGTAAATATATTCGCTTTGCTAGGGCAGGTGCACTGCAAATCTTTAGAGCTACCTGCCTTTCGAAGCGAAATGACGGGAAAATACCTGGACTAACTTGATGCGAGCCGAACGCACTGCCTCCATCCAAAATGGCTCGATAATTCTTACCTGTGTAGGTATCTTCTCGGTATAGAAGCCAAGGTTGCAATCATGATGGTTTCACAATTCACAGAGCAGCGGGGCCGCTTTTACGGAAACCAACATTTCTATTCAGAATCAACACGCTCAAACGAGCACATCAAGCGAGATCGAGCAGTACAGTCGACGTGGGACGCTAGGTTTGGGCCAGTCCCGCTACGAGAACAAGCACCCGCACAGCGCTTCCGAAGGGCGCGTACTTGCGTCAGTTGTTTGCTGGAAACTGGGTCCCCGGTTGGGAGACCTTCCTCTAAACACCTCAGTAAACGCAGAACGACTCGCAGTCGTGAAGAATAAACGAAGTCAACGAGCTATGCTCGTCGAGCGCACCGCAAACGCAAACAGCCATTTTTGTTGTCGTTTGAAACCGGAACGGAAAGGCAATCTCGGCATATATTTTAAAACAATAATGGCTCTATCTAGATTATTTGTTTCTCAAACAAAAACAAAATAGTTGATTAAAATGCTATTACGGCACGGAGATACAAATTTACAACCAAACTTTCACACGTCAATCATTTCTCCAGCTAATGAGAGATGTAAGCCCTTCTAAGCACGGGGCGGGGCTTAGCGGGCTGCGACCTCCATTTTCTGCACCTAAATTGCCTTAGCGGCGTAAATATTGCTCGGAAAAAAGTAATTTTTTTTTTGTGGTAATTTTTTGTATATACGTGTTTATTTAAAAATGAAAGATGTTTACAAATCTCTGTAATGCGAAATTAGAGCGCAGCTCTTGAGGTGGAGGCGAGGAGGGTACGGAGGGAAGAGTGCTCCTCCTCCGTAACCTCCCCTCCTCCCCCTCCTCTCCTTTCCTCTTCCTCCCCTCCTCCTAACCTCCAACCCTCCTCGCCCCTCCTCTCCTCATTCTATCCTCCTCCTTTCCCCTTCTCCTCCTGCCCTCCACCTCTCCCCTCTTCCTCCCATTTGCCGTACCTTCCCCCTCCTTCTCTGTACCCTCCTCTCCTACCTCCCTACCCTCCAGTCCTCCCACACTTTCCCCGCTAAATTTGGTTGAAAAATTGAAGCCACGTGACTTCAACACTAATGCAGTTTCCCCGCTAAATTTAGCTGCGAAAATGACGTCACATGACTCCGTGTCACTTCACCTATGAACAAGATAAGTTTCTCCGCTAGATTTCGCGGGAAAACTGACGTCGCGTGACCTCAACGCTAATTCAATTCCCCGCTAAACTTAGCGGGGAAACTAAATTGGTGTGTTCAGGTCATGTGACGTCAGTTTTACCGCTAGCGGGGAAACTGAATGCGCAGTGTTGCATTATGGGACGTCACAAACCTACACACCAATTCAGTTTCTTCGCTAAATTTAGGGAAATTGAGTTGTTGTACAGGCCTGTGACCTCCCATAATGCAACGCGCGCGGTTACGCCGACGCCGACGCCGTTATACACGGAAACAGGCGCCAATGAGCTGCGCTCCAAAATATATATTTTGTTACTGTAGTGTCCCTTTAAGAGAAAAGGGATGGCAGCGAAGCTACTTCCAAAATACTAAGGGTCTGTGAAGGTACTTAGACAGGCCCAGACCCAGTCATCTATCAGCTGCGAGACCTAAAGGCATCTCGAAAACCAAGCCAGATTTTTTCAGCTCGTTCCAGTCAACTAAAATTGTGTAGTAAATTGCTGGGCAATGGACCTTTTCCACATACCAACGGCACCAGGCGGTGGCTGCACGAACTAAAAATCGAGGAAGTGACCTACCTGCGCTACCAACCGATAATCGGAGTTACGCTACCAGTTTCTTCGCTCTCTGAGCTGTCGCGCGTGCCCAACGCGACTTTAAAGGGGGGCATCCGTGGCGCCCATCCAAACGCCGTGTTTTTCTTTCTGTCAACGTTCTTTTTTTGTGTAACACAATTATATATATATGCTGCAATGACGTGTTCTACTCGCTGATCCACAGCCTCCTTTTTGAATTTCCTCAATTTTTCGTGCCGACTTCCGCCGCTTGGCATCGGGCGCTCGCGCCTGCGCCGAACGCTTCTCGGAAAAGGTCCATTGCGTTACACGTGAAACGTTCCGGTATCGCTCCGGAACATTACCGAGCCGGGCACCTACGCTCGGGGAGCTTTTCATTGAATAACGTAACACGTGGCACAGACAGATGATAGTAATTCCTGGAATAAAGATACTGGCGCGAGTCATGCTTTAAAGCACGGCGGTTTTTCTGAACCTCCCATAATCACCGAAATCAGCCAATCAACTTTAATCACGTGACCTTTATACCACACAATCAGCGTCGAACTTTGCGGTCGATTTTTTTGGGCTTCAATAAATCTGGCGACCCACCTGACGAGCCAGAGAACGTTTCACGTTAAAACGTATTACTATGTTTCCAGGAAGACACTCACGCACGAAAGTGGTGTGAGACAGACTGCCGAGGACGGAGAGTCAACAAGGAGGGGAAGGGACCGGGGGGGGGGAGGTGTAGCAGACGGTGATTAAAACCTGACAAACTACAACGAACACTAAGGAGAAATGAAAAGTAGAGAAAAAGATTGGCAGCCATTCTACTCTGCGAAGGTGGATGAACAGCGAAGCTGTTTAGCACGCGACACTTACGTGACACAGAATTTTGAACAAAGGTACGAACACATTTATTGTCTTGATCGTTGGTCATCGTGGCGAAAGGTACGCACACACGCGTGCCGCCCGCCGCCTTCAAGGAGAATACAGAGAATGGTGTTCCACACGCCGCACGCGCACGCCTTCCCCGTATAAAAGATTCGAAGTAAATAACCAAAATAAAGCGTTGACGAACGTGCGTGCAAGAAGACATCTGTTTTAGGCTTCTGCTTCAGAACAATTACTATTGCAGACGCCGCCACGTGCGGCGCGTGGGTGCGGTGCCAGCGTAAAGGTTTTGGTCACGCACACGAAAAATCCACGGAAGAGCTTCGCTGTAAAATAAGGGGATGAAGAGAAGAAGGACGCTACAGTAGTTGGGCGGAACGGCGGAAAAACGGATATGGAACAATATACTCACGGGAGTTTATAATTCACTACACTGTAGGAAAGCATTTTCGTAGGCCGTTTTTTTTGTTTTTTTTTGTTGTTGTTGTTGTACATGATTGCAAATGCGCTCTGCAAGCATAGCTGGTCCACAAGCGCTGTCGCAACAGAACCTTCGAAAGCTCCTTGCACCCACGCGCGCCTAACAATACTCATGTTGTGCTATACAGCGACGATGTTGCCAGGCCCATATATAATGCCATCAGCATGAGAACACTTCAGCATGAGCTTAATTCTAGCTATCTCTGGTGCGTGGTATTTTCTTTCACTGTATCCTTCTTTGCTTTCTAAAATATCGGTTATGTGTGAGACTTTGAAGATTCCCTTAAAACAAGGGCGAAAAAGGTCACATGAAGTGTGAAGTTATCGTGAAAACATTGATCGGCAGTTTCCCAGGAAATGGACTCCAGAGCAAACCTAAGCAGGGAAAGAGGGG